CCGGCATACCTTTTATTAGTTTCATTTTTAATTCAGACATCAAAGGGAAGATAATACCTTGCTACCAAAGCCCAGATGCCAACTAATTACTACAAGAGACTCCAATCCTGACATCACAGGCCAGGACTCTGAGCATGCTCCATCTTCCTCGGTGACCCCACCTTAGTGATTAATAGGTTGAGTGCTAGGCCCTAATGAGTGTGTCTGATCTTAGATGTTCTCTAGGCTAATGCAATTAGCAATATGTTGAATGGAATCTTTCAGTTACCTGATAGAGAGACTCATTATACTTTACTGTAAACAGTGCTTTTTTACCTTATAGTCGTTACATTTATTTTATAGTCATCCACTTAAAAGGCTTCTATCAATAGGAGTCTATCACATTCTATAGAAAAATTTAAACATTTTAAAGTCAAATATTGATTTTCTTCTACAACAGTGAACCACTATGTTGTATAAAAAGTGGAATTTTTTTCAGAGATGTTTGTTAAAATGCAAGTTTCTGGACTCTACTTATAAAAATTCTGATAAAAGGGGTTGTGAGATAAAGTTTAGGACTGCATTTTTCATGAGAGACCCATGATTCAGAAGCAAAAAAATCTATGGTTCACACTTGGAAAAATACAGAAATGTGAATATCAGGACTACTAGCTGTGTCTTTAATTGAATTCTATCAGATTTTTTCTTCTAAGTAGTTATGTTTCTGAAAAAACTACTTGTATCCACATAATGAAAATGATTTTCACAACAAGTTATAGTTTTAAATTTGCCTGTCATTTTTGGTTAAAAGATTAAAAACTAATTATCGGGCTAAGACACGGATGTTACTTCCAACAAACCATGTAAATGTATGAGATTAACATGTAACAGTAGATACAACAGGGTGTATGTTTCTGTTCACTAGGAAATGGGTCTGGAATTGTCTTTTCAGTTTTAAAAAGAAAACCAAAGAGTAGCAGAATTTCTGCAATTCCTGACTTCTTTCCATGGCCAGAGATGAAATGTGAAACATTTCAGCCCTGATAACTTTGAGGACTTTGACCAATATTCCAAGTACTTATCTGTTTCTCACCTAGACATTACCATCATGTCAATTTCATGTTGTATTTTCATGTTGTCAAGCATTGCTTTCTTGAAACAACCAGATACAAATCCCTGTTAATATTTGACTTAGACACATTTGGTTCATGTATTACCCTAAACATTTTAAGGCATTTTCCAAATGTGTAACTATTTCACCAAACTACTATTTTCTTGATGAATTTCAAACGAGTTCTTTTGTGCTTTTTAAGATCTACACCATATAGAGAAATCAGTATGAATAAGATAAAAACATTTACTTTAAGTAAATATAGTATATTCATTTACTTATTATAATTTCACACTGAGATTTTGTGGTTTGACAAAGTGAATTATGCCCTTCTCCATTCTAAGTTCCTGTTACATCAGCCAGAGGGGTGAAGGCTGTCATATGACCATGGCGAGTCTATTAACACATCCTGCTTTTGCTGGATGAAGAACGGTTGCTGAGGTATCAAATCCTGTCTAGGAGTGGCAGGATACCATTCAGTCATGTTTCTTCCTCTAGAAAGACTACATTTTAAAGCATCCCTGGCTCTTGCATCTAGGTAAGGCAGTAAATGAGAGGAGACCCCAAAAACCCTGGAATTTATTTATTAAAAACGTGTATTTATTCTTACATGTTTAAACTCCCATTGCCTTCAAAGTCCTCTCTGTTGGATGCAATATACCTATTGAAATGCTTTTTCCAGCCGGGCTTGTTGGCTCAGCCTGTAATCCACGCCTTTAGGAGGCTGAGGTGAGTGGACTGCTTGAGCCCGCGGGTTTGAGACCCCCGCCTGGGCAGGCAAGACCTCATCTCTACAATAAATCAAAAAATCAGCCGGGTGTGGTAGCGCATGCCTGTAATTCCGGCTACTTGGAAGGCTGAGGCGGAAGGATCGCCAGAGCCCAGCAGGTCGAGGCTGTGGTGGCCGGGAGCGGCCACTGCACTCCAGTCTGGGTGACAGAGTGAGACTCCAACCCAAAAAAACAAAAAAGAAATGCTTTTTCCACTGCTCAGAACAGTTTTTGAACTCGTCCATTTTGAATACTTTTGCCATCTTTTGTTTCACCTCTTACGCGTTGGCAGAATGTTACCCTTTGAGGAATGTTTTCTTCTAGAGAAACAAAAATAAGTCACTTAGGACGAGATTGGGTGACTAGGGAGCATGGGGCACAGTGATCATGTTGGGTTTTTAGTGTTGCTGTGTGTTTGTTTGTTAGCATTGTCCACCAATTTTATTGTATTTTGTTTTATTTTATTTTATTTTTCCCCTTTTAATTTTTATTTTAAAATTGTGGGGTACAATTCAGGGTGAAGTATACAAATATTCATTGTGCAGGTACCCTTGTTGATGAGGGGTGCCTCCCCTACCCCAGGCAGATATCGACTACTGTCAATCCCACCTCCCCGCTGCTCCCCTCTGGCCCCTGCAGTTTCCTGCTCCTCTCAATCCTTTTCTTATAGTATTATGGTAGTTGTTCAAGGTCCACTTATGAGTGAGAACATGTGATACTCAGCTCTTTGTTTCTAGATCATGCTGCTTTGGGTCAAAAACTGCTGAACACTCAAATGGGGTGGGCAGGTGGCGTCATGGTAGAAGAACCAGTCACCTGTTTGCCAAAACTGGGGACGTTTCTTCCACAATGCAGCCTCTCACAATAACACTAGCTGGTATGTTGTTGCCAATGGGTTCTGAGAACATTTACCTAGCGGTGGGAAGCCTGTACTACAAAGAATCCACCCTCTAAAAGATAGTTACTGGTTTTTTGAGTTACCCCCCTCATACAAGTTCTGATCACTGGACTGTGTACAGACATGATGGTTCTCCCTTCAGGCCTAGCCCCTAAAATATCCTATATGTTTTTTCATGCTGGTTACCTTCACTGTTTGTTTTACAAATGGAGCACATTTAGGAAACAGTACGAAGCCTTCAGCGATGCCACAGGCACCAGATTAAACACTGCTTGAGCAAGAAATAAACTTGTAGTGTTTTAAGCCACTGAAACTTTGAGACTGTTTGCTGAAAACAAATAAAGAATGCAAATTAAAGCTTGATTTGACTAAAAAGTTGTACATAATTTTATCTTATGAGTCAGTCCACTATCTGCTCATAAGAAATTATGAATATTTAAGACTTGAAGTTCAAGTTCCGTGTACCTATTATCAATGCAGTAGGAGTCTGTGTCCCTTGTATTTAAGAGAGGAAAAAAAAACCCTTGCATATCTTAACACTAGCACTTTTAGAAGCTGATGTCAAGATGACTGTGTGTTGCTCCAGCTAAGCAATTATTAAAGAATACTCAACTCATAGGATAGAGGAAGAAGACCCCCTACACGATATCTAATGCTTCTGTAGTTGTGAGAAATAACACTGCTACAATCCATACAACTGTCCAAAGGAGAGTCTCAGAAAGTGTTTTGAAAGCAGAATTTTTCACTGAAATGCCCAAATAGCATTTTAAAGATAACATTTGGTACTGGAAGAAAAATGCATGTTTTAACCTAAACAAAAGGATAAAGGAAATATATGCTGGATGAATCCAAAATCACTATGTACAAAAAATAACACATACCAGCACACACAGACACAGACACAGACACACACACACACACACACACACACGCACGCACGCACACACATACACACACGCACACACACACACAAACATAGGACTATTTCAGGATCAAATGTTTACCTTGATAGTATAACAAAAAGATCATGTCTTAAAAAATAAGTATGATGTCACTGAACAAACGACCTTGGTAGGGTAGCACACAAGTCATTACAATGCAGTGGAAATACCATTGGATCAGATTTGCAGGAGGCCTAGGCTAGGTCTGGCTCTGTCACTTTCTAGATGCAAAGAGGAGAATAGGAGAAAGGCAGAGAGCATAGGAATTAAATGCTTGGAGTCTCAATCTCTATCTACTACCAACGAGCTGTCTGACTTGGGAAACAATTTTATCTATTTCCTTAGCTAGAGCATAAAGAGAAGACTGCTTATTTCACAGGTTGTTAAGGCAATTGTGTCATACCACATACATCAATTACTTAGAGAGACCTAGGCTGAAAGTAAATGTTAATAAATATTGGATAGTATTAATGTTATATCTCTATCACTGAGAGTCATATTATCCTTACTTGTAAAATAAGAAATTACACTAGATATATAATTTCTTTATATCATTATATTCTGAGTCTAACAGTCCCTTAAAGTCCAATATCCAACTGAAAGACAAAGACTGTAAGATCTCTGTGTTTTCAGTAATGACTTTTAAAAAAATCTATAAGATAGCCTGGTCTGCTGTTGAGATTGATTTAAAGAAAACAGGTGATACAATAATGCACAAATATTTCCAATTTTTTTAACATTCAGAAGTGAGTTAGTACTTTTGATAACTGTTAGGCATCCATTAAAATAAAAAGAATATATTTCATGAGTCTTGTAGAGACAAAGCATTATTTCAATCACACAAACTCAGATGTGTCTAGAATGTACATAACACTCCAGTTCTGCAACTTCAGGTGAAGTACTTTCTAGGCCTATAAACTGTCAGCAACTTGAGTTTCCTTCCCATTCAGAAACTGGCGGTAGCAATGGTAAAGAAAGATACCAACACTTCAGCAGAGACTTAATTCCAAACTAAGTGGAACAGCGCTTCACTTGGCAATTCCATAATTTAAGTGCATCTTGCTTTGTGCAAATAAACCCTCATTCTCAAAAATACTCTAAAAAATGAAACAAAATGTTCAAGATGTTGAAACACTAAAAAAAAATTATTAAAAATTCAGTTCTGATTGTACCTTTGGTCAGTTTGAATGAACTGCAACACAAAAACAGGGCTTGAACAAACCTAGACACTGAATGTAAATCCCTGTGACCTGGAGGAGTTGTTTTCCTGACCCAGAAACTACTTATTCCAAAAACCTTACCTCCCGCGTACATAACAGCCAGCATGATGGATGATATCCACGCTATTTCGCTGTAGGTCGTGTGGAATATCTGCTGAATCTCTTTGAAGAATACTGTGACGGCTTTGGGAAATGCATATGAAAATCCAATGGAGATAAAAGCTGCTCCGACCACCACCCAGCCCCATCCTCCATCCGGGGGAGGATACAGGGGTGGGGCACTTGACGTTGGTGGCATCTCTGCTCCTCTAACGGAAATTCAGGGGACCTATGTGAAGAAATACGAAATCACAGTTTAAGCTTCATTTCTACTTGTTTGCCATTCTTGATAGTCACTAAAATATTTTCCAGTTATAGCTCTGCAATGCTTTTTCATGAATATTTTTCATACCCTTGTACTCAGAAAATTATCAGAAGATTTACAAAAAATGAATATGAGGTATAAAACTTTGACTATTGGGGGCTAAAAACTGAAAGCATTCAATTTGTTTATGAGAAGAAAATTATTCAAAGCAAAGTTAAGAATTTAGATCTGAGGCAACCCAAACATAAAATTTATCTCAATCTTATTTCCAGGCATAAGAAAAATGAAACTGTCATAACTTTAAACAGAATACTTTCTTAATCCAAAATGCTTGCTTTAAGATTTTCTGTACAGTCTGGGCATGGTGGCTCACACCCATAATCCCAGTACTTTGGGAGACTGGTTTGAGGCCAGCCTAGGCCACATAGAGAGATTTTATCTCTACAGAAAAAAATTTTAAATTATCTGGTTGTGGTGGGGTACATCTGTAGTCCCAGCTACTTTGGAGGCTGAAGTGGAAGGATCGCTCAATCCCAGGGTTTTGAAGCTGTAGTGAACTATAATTGCACCACTGCACTCCTGCCTGGGTGACAAAGAGAGATCCTGTGTCTTGAAAAACAAATATATGTATTAAGAATAACCATGAATTAAATCTGATGAATTATAAAGAATTAAACAGCGAGAATATGTTAGAATTTTTCCACTTTCAACAACTGAGAAAGCTTAACACCATTTCAGCCTGGATCTATTTTCTAAACTTAAAATATTTAGAAGTTGTACAACTCTATGGAGTTAAGTTAATTTTGATGTACTTCCAAAACTGGTGCTACTTATCATTTTATGAATGATATACTTTATGTATTTTTCCTAGCCATGAAATACTCCCAATCTAGTGGATGTTATGTTTGTTTGTTGAGGGGTTTGGGGAAAGGGGTTTTCTTTTTGGATATGCTGGAGACACTTAGCTGCTAGCTTTACCATACAGAGCAACCAATCTTCTGTGGAAGAAAATGATCACATGAAGCTTGATATATTTGAAATGGAATGAAACATCTTGGTTCCTTAACATCAACGTTTCTTTTCATAGTGATGCTGCTTGCTCAGGTCTTAGCTACAGCTGACAGTGTTTGTTAGTATTTTTCTTATAATACTTATTCCACTTGAAATTTATAGGAACAAGAGAGCCTTTCTTTTGTTGGTAAGATAACATTTGAAACGAGCTAATAAAAACTCATTTTGCTACGTCTTCAAAAAACCTACCCCAAAATAATCCATGAAAACAGACAGAGGTTTAATCTTTGTTTAATGCCAAAGTATATCTTAGATATTTTCAAGTGATGTTCTATGTACGCTTTGAGTGAAAATATTCACTGCATTAAAGTTTTCTAATTTGTCCATGTTTACAGCCAAGGATTTGCTTTCAGAAACCCATAGAGGGAAAATTATAAAAGTGAACCTCAAAATAGGTAGACCACTGTTTCACGGGGATAAATAAATATAAGTTGATCAGTAGTACCACAAGAATAACAATACAGACAACCATTATTATAACTTTTAAAATATCTTTTGTGGCAAATATGCTTAAGATTTCTTGACATAATACTTCACAGGAATTCATAGACGGAGAGAAATCAGTATAATCTGCAACTGAACAGATAACGGAACTGACGGTTAAAGTGCTTATTTTACATTACATAAGTGAGATATATCTCTAAGAGAGTTTGCACACACCATTTGCTTTGACCTCATTAATTTATCGCCATTTATTTTGACCTCATTAATTAATGCTTATAGCTCTGGATTTTCCTTTCTGCTTAAGGCTGTGCCAAGGAATAAAACGATTCTTGCATAGCCTTTTGGCATGATCTACTGGATTTCTCGATTGCCTTCTGTTGTTTCCCCTTTTTGAGCATTGTGGAGATGGTTCTAACCCTATTTTTAAAAAATATAAATTGCATGCATTTAAGTCGTAAAACCTGATGTTTTGATGTACAAATTCATAGTGAAACTATTACTACAGTGAATCCAGCTAGCATATCCATCTCCTGTTATAGTTACTACTTTCCTTTTTGTGTGCTGTGAACAAATGAAATTTACTCTTAGCAAAATTCCAATATACAATACAGTATTCTTATCTATATTAACATAGTACATTCAATCTCCAGGCTTATTCATCCTAAAAAACTGCAACTTTATACCCTATAGCCAACATTTTCCCATTTCTCCCATCTCCCTGCCCCTGGTAACCAATATTCTACTTTCTGCTTCTATAAATGTGACTATTTTTTTTGGATTCCACTAATAAGTGAGATCATGCAAATCTGTCTTTGTGTCCAGCTTATTTCACTTAGCATAATGTCATCAAGGTTCATCCATGTTCTCACAAAGGTCAGGTACATCCTGCAACTTTTGAATTAGAGTAACAATTACATTTTATTTATTTTTATTTACTGTATAACATTGATACAGTTATATTATAAAATAGGTGACTGCAAACTTTTTCTGTAAAGAGACAGACATTAAATATTTCAAGCTTTGTTGGTCTAATGGTCTCTTTTGCAACAACTCAATTTGATGGTTTTAAAACAAAAGTAGCCATAGACAATACTAAAAAAATGAGCGTGACTGTGTTATCAATAAAATGTTATTTGCAAACTAGCCTGAGGACTGAAGTTTGATGATCCCTGTAATAGAATATTAGAAAACTAAGGGAAAAAAAGATACCTAATCACACTACTTTGAAAGTTATTATTAATTATTTTGTGCATTTATATATTTCTGATTAATTGAAATAATACTATCTTCTTATAAATAATAGAGATACAATTGTGAATAATGCTTTTCACTTTTTTGTTTGTTTGCTTGTTTTGAGTTGGAGTCTCACTCCAGTGCCCAGGCTGGTGCGCAGTGGCATGCTTACAGTCACCCCAGCGTCGACCTGGTGGGCTCAGGCAATCCTTCCTCCTCAGCCTTCCAAGTAATCAGAGCTACAGGCGTGCACTACCACGTCTGGCTAATTTTTTGATTTATTATAGAAATGAGGTCTCACCAAGTTGCCCAGGCTGGTCTCAAATCCGTGGGCTCAGGCAATCCTCTAACCTTGGTCTCCCAAAGTGCTGGGATTATAGGCTTGAGCCACCGCACCTGGCCCGCTTTTTAATTACTTGTGTTTGTTAGCAATTTTCTCCGTTTGGTTCCACAGTTTTTAAATAGTATGGAAAGTACAGAAAGTGTAAATTACAATTTTAAATTGCCAAATAAAGCCTCTGAGTGCTAGCATGATTTATAGATAATCTCCTTTTTTACCATATGTTTCATTTTTTCTTTTTAAAAAGTTTTCATTTTAAAGATGTGGGGTACAATTCAGGGTTAGGCATCCAAATGGTCATTATACAGGTAAAGTTTGGACCTCACTTTGGTGCCCACTTCACCAGGTTTGAGATCAGATACCCTTATTGATGAAGTGTGCCTCACTGACCACCCCCCCTCCCCGCACCTCGCCCCTGGGAGTTTCCCACTACTGCCAATCCTTTCTTAAAGTATTATGATAATTGCTCAGAATCCACTTATGAGTGAGAACATGTGGTACTCAGTTCTTTGTTTCTGTGATAGATCACTGAGTATTATAGTCTCTAAGTCCATCCAAGTAGCTGAGAAGTTCATAATTTTGTCCTTCTTTATGGCTTTGTAATACCCCATTGTGTATATCTACTCCATTTTTTTTTTATTCAGTTCACTTTCCATCAGCAGCACAGTTGGTTCCATGTTTTTACTATTGTGGATAATGCTGCAATAAATATGCATGTGCAGGTATCTTTTCCATAGAGTGATTTGAGTTCCTCCGGATATAGTCCCAGTAGGGGGATTGCAGGGTTGTATGAAAGGTCAATTTTTAGATCTCTTAGGAATCGCCACACTGTTTTCCACAAAGGTTGTATTAGTCTGCACTCCCACCAACAGTGTAGAAGTGTTTCCTTTACCCTGCATCCTCTTCAGCCTCTGTTACTTTTTGAGCTATTGATGATGACCACCCCGACTGGAGTTAGGTGGTATCTCAGTTGTGGTTTTAATTTGCATTTCTTTGATGATTAGTGAGGCTGAACATTTTTCATGTATCTGTCAGCTGCCAGTATGTCTTTGGCCCACTTTTTAATAGGGCTGTTTGTTGTTTTCTTTTAGGCATGTGTGAGTTCTTTGTAGATCTTAGATGTTAGGCCTTTGTCAGATATATAGTTGGCAAAGATCTTTTCCCATTCTGTGGGCTGTCTCCCCACTCTTTGATGGCAACTTTTGCTTTGCAAAAGGTTTTCAGTTTGATGAGGCCCCACTTGTCTATTACATACCTTTGTTTGTATATTCATACATTGAAAATAATTTTAGCATTTTTATGTTTTCAATCATATATTATACATTTTTGAGGCATAATGTGATATTTTGATATATGCTTACTCTTTTGAAAGCAATCTCAAATTACTGTTTTAGACAAAGTTGAAATATAAATAATAAATTACCTACTATTTTATTACAGACTGTGGGCTAAAAGAAAAACTATCAACTAAAAAGTTTAAAAATGGCATGGGGGGGCCGAGCTCAGTGGCTCAGCCTGCAATCCCACGCCTTTGGGAGGCTGAAGTGAGTGGATTGCCTGAGCCCGCGGGTTCGAGACCTGCCTGGACAGGCGAGACCTCATCTCTACAATAAATAAAAAAAAAATTAGCTGGGCGTGGTAGCGTGCGCCTGTAGTTCCAGCTACTTGGAAGGCTGAGGTGGAAGGATCGCCGTAGCCCAGCAGGGCGAGGCTGCGGTGGCCGGGAGCGGCCACTGCACTCCAGTCTGGGCAACAGTGAGACTCCAACTCAAAAAAAAAAATGGCATGGGGAAGGGAAATCCTTTTAATTTCCCAGAGAGATATAATAAAGTAAAATTAAATGATTTCTGATTGAAAACACACACACACACACACACACA